CTCAGACAAGGAGCCAGCTTAACAGTGCTAGGAAGTGACATCAGTTTCGTAGACACACACACATCTCTGCCAAAGCTAGCAGATCTACTTGGAGATATCTACCCCCGCTTCTTCAGCTTCTATTCAAACACATGTGGGGGTGTTCTCAGTAGCCACCAACTGTCACTGTTCACTGAAGAAACATCTAACTATCAGAAATGATTGAGCCAGCTTGTTTTGTGCTGCTCCAAAGGGCAGGACCCGAACCAATGGATTCAAATACCAAGAAAGGCGATTCTGAGTAAACCTTAGGAATCACTTTCTGACAGTAAGAGCTGTCCGGTAGCGTAACAGACTCCCTCAGATGTTGGTGGACTCTCCTCCTTCTTTGGAGGTTTTTTTTCAACAGAGGTTGGGTGGCCATCTGTCAGGGATTCTTGAGCTGCGATTCCTGCATTGTAGGGGGTTGGACTAGATGACCCTGGGGGGTCCCTATTCCTTGCTTCTATGAAACACTTTTAGCATGCTCTAAGACAGCACACTGGCTGGGGCTGATGGGAGTTTGATTTGGTTATTAAAAAATATATCTAAGCAGTGTACAAAGAACTGAAGCAACAACAGACAACTTAAACAAAATATTACAAAGATAAAGGTAAAGGGACCCCTGACCATTAGGTCCAGTCATGGCCGACTGGGGTTGTGGCGCTCATCTCGCTTTATTGGCCGAGGGAGCAGGCGTACAGCTTCCGGGTCATGTGGCCAGCATGACTGAGCTGCTTCTGGTAAAACCAGAGCAGCGCACGGAAACGCCGTTTACCTTCCCGCTTGAACGGTACCTATTTATCTACTTGCACTGTGTGCTTTTAAACTGCTAGGTTGGCAGGAGCTGAGACTGAGCAATGGGAGCTCACCCTGTCGCGGGGATTTGAACTGCCGACCTTCTGATCAGCAAGTCCTAGGCTCTGTGGTTTAACCCACAGCACCACCCGCGTCCCTCTATTACAAAGATACACAGTTACATATAAAGAATGTTACATTAATATGAAGTTATTAATCAATATCCTCTCCCTCGTGACACACCTTCCCTTTCAGACTCCAGGTTCTCAACCAGGGGCCAAACAAACTCTTAACTTGCCCACAAAATTCTCACAATGAGAAGAGATCCTGGAAACAGCAGGCATCACCCTAGTCTTTCACTCTAGACAGGTGGATGGCAGGTCCAAGGTGGATGGTGCTACTTCAGGCTGCCCACAGCTTTGTTGCATTCAGCTGCACTTTCCAAACCCAGTTCCAGGTATAGCAGGTTTGTCGAGTTGTGGTCCAAACCACCTGGAGGGCACCAGGTTGGGGAATGCTGTTCTAGAATCCCCAAGTGATCACCAGCGCTTAGCAGCACTCCGTCAAGTCACACAAAGGCCACATTCACACTATGCATTTAATGTATGATTCTATGAGTACCATACATCTTTAAACAGCCATGGCTTCCCCCACAGTATAATGGGATCTGCTATTTATTTATTTAAATAGCCCTGTTTAGGGAAGTTTTTAATGTTTTAATGAATTTTTAATCTTTTGTTGAAGCCGCCCAGAGTGGCTGGAATTTTTTAGACGATTCCCCTCATCCCCCTCATAGAGTTACAATTCCCAAAATTCTTTGTGAAGAGGGATTGATTGTTAAACCACTCTGGGAACTGCAGCTTTGGGAGGGGAATGGGGGGAGGTCTCCTAACAACTCCAAGCACTCTTAGCAAACTACAGTTCCCAGAGTCCTTTGGGGGAAGCATGGCTGTTTAAAGTGGTATCGTGGGGCTTGAAATGTATTAGGTGAATGTGGAGAAAATGCGGTCATAAGAACATAAGAAAACCCTGGTGGATCAGGCCAATGACCCATCTAGTCCAGCATCCTCTTCCCACAGTGGCCAAGCAGATACCTCAAAGGGAAGCCCACAAGCAGGACGCAGGCACAAGGGATCACTCCCCACTAGTGATCCCCAGTGACTGGTACTCAGAAGCATTGCTGCCTCCAACTGTGGAGGCAGAGCATACCCATCATGGCTAGTAGCCTCAACAGCCCTCTCCTCCACATCTAACATCTGCTTCAAGAATTCTGCACTTGCAAATGCAATCTCAAAATGGAAGAGTATTGAAATTCTCTCTATACATGAATGGATCCAAAAGCAGAGAGAATATGCCAAATTAGATGGTCTATCAGAAAAAATGAAGAATAAACCAAAACAGGAATTTGTTTCAAAATGGGAGGTTTTCAAAGAATATTTGAAATAAGTCGTTTAAACTCTGTTGCAGCATTTGAGGAATTTCAGTAACTGTTGCAAGTTAGACATAAGAGTTAAGATATATTAAGAAAAACTTAAATTATGATAAAAAGTGTGTATTGGCAATTAGTAATATGAAACTGAAGTAAGGAATAGACGGGAGGTTGGGTCTATAGTGTTAAGACCAACATGTTTTATTGTTTGTAAGGGAAAATGTTGTGTTTATTGCTATTCTTGTGTGTAATTCTGTATCTGTGTTTTCCTTTTTTTGTTGTATCAATAATAATAAAAAAAGCAAATCCAATCTCAAAACACTTGTTTGCAAAAAAAGAAAAGAAAAAAGGCGCTGAGATAGAATTTGAACTCTGGGCACCTTGTACTCTCGGACTCTTTGCCGCCGCTCTGCATTGGCTTGCTTTATTTGGAAGAAAGCCCCCCTCTTTTATTCTGATGGAGCTTGATTCTTAAACATTTCCCATGGCTCCAGCTTGCCTGTGGCTGCCACGCCAGAGCTAACGACTGGCATTCTATAGTTTCAGTCCTACATGCTCCTGAGAGCAAAGTAAGAAGTGCAAAAATAGCTGTAGAGACACGACTGACAGACACTCCCACAGTGTACCTGGCAACCCACCAATCATGAGATTACGCACCAGCGCTGCCCCCACATTAACCATGCATGGAACACTCCAGCCGAAATGTGCAAGTCCGGCAGAAAGAGAAAGTGAAGGCTAAGGATGGGCAGCAGGTGAGAGCCCTGAAGTTGCTTATCAACAATTATCAATCGGGCAGGCACCATGAGCAGGCGCAGACCTCCGTTGTTCCTATGATGGTGGAATTCATTTAAATAATTTCTATTTAAATGATAGCACTTATTCCTCAACTTGCAGTTATACATCTAGATGAGCACATGCAAATTTTATGCAAATAGGTGCCCTCCTTTTTCAGCGACACATTTCCTCTCTTTGAGCAATGTGTAAGGATAGCAAGGATGCAGGGAATCAAAGGGAGTGGACCTGAGTACCAGCCTTGAACAAGTTTCACTTATTGCATTTATATCCCACCTTTCTTTCCTACAAGGAGCTCAAGGTGGCAGACAAGGTTCTCCCCCACACCTCATTTAATCCCCCATAACGACCCTGTGAGGTAGGTTGGGGTTGAGAGGCAGTGACTGGTCCCAGGTCGCCCGCTGAGCTTCATAGCTGAGTAGGGGCTTGAACCCTGGTCTCCCAGCTCCTAGTAGAAACACTATCACCACTGCATCACTAGTTCCCTTTCAGTGTCTTGCACACAATGATTTTGGGTGAAAAATAATGAGAGCGGAACTAGAATGCAGTGCTCCTCATTGAATGAGAAGGTATTTTCCATTGGGCTCCCAGGTTGTGGAATGACCACCCCTCTGAAGTGCAACTTGGTCCCTGCATGCTTTTTGATGATGGGTTGAGTGAGTGCCTTTCTTCCTCCTGCGTTGCTGTGCCCTGCTGTGCTGCTAACGTTGGCTGCTCTGTACTTGTTTTTTTGGGTCTGTGTGTGTTGTATTTTGATTGAAAATTGTGCTTGCTGGAATTGTGACATTTTCCTATCCCACCCCAGGACCATTTGGCGAGAGGTGGACTATAACTACAAATAAACAACAAATATATGCTAAATAATGGAGCACCACACAGCCGCACAACAGAAAGATTTGCAATTAGTCTAGCCCATGATGTAGGAACAAAACAGGAAGTTGCCTTATTCTGTGTCAGCCACCTACAGCAATATTGTTCACATTGACTGGCAGAGGCTTTCCAGGGTTTCAGCCTTTCCCAGCCCTACTGAGAGATTCCAGGGATTGATCCTTGGGGCATCTGCATGCAAAGCAAGATGTTCTGCTGCTGAGCTGTGGCCCTCCTCCTGTTCTCCTCAGCTCCACATGAATCATCTAGCCACACAGCTCAGTACGGAAGGACCTCAGCTGGAACAACGCATCTTCAGCCCACAAAAGGTGTTCAGTTTGCTCCTGCAAGAGAATGCAGTGCGACACAGGCAATCCGGGTGAGTGATGCAATGGCCAATGGCCTCCCCCTGTCAAGTGCCAATCCTGGGATGCCCAATACTTTAGATGCACCTCCCTTGTATTTCAGGATAACTTCAGGTTATTGCCAGCATTTGCAGGGCATCCTCTCCAGAAGCCCTTCTAGAGAGGGTGACTGATACAGCTCTGCCGGCTGGCTTATCACACTGGCAACAACCACATGAGGAGAATGGAAGACTTAGAGTCTGTCCTATTTTTTATTAAAACACACACAAATGCTTTTAAGAAGAGCCTGCTAGATCAGGCTAATGGCCCATCTAGTCCAGCATCTGTTCTCACAGTGGCCAACCAGATGCCTCAAAGGGAACCCCCAAGCAGTTCCCCAAAACAAGAGCACTCTTCCTTCCTTAGGTTTCCAGCAACTTGTATTCAGAATGTAGCCCTATCGGCCATTGTTTTTGACAATACTCCAGCAGCAAGACCCACAGCCAGCATGCAGACCTCCAGTTCTGCTGTGATGGCACACCTCCTGCTCCTCCTCTTGTGTCCCATAGGGAAGACCAGGGAGGTGACTAAGAAGGGGGACAGTGCTGGAGGCACCAGATCATGCACTTAAGAACAAAGGCAACGCTGAAATCATCAAGTCTTTTATTGAACGACATCCATGGCAGAGTGAGCTCTGGCAGTGTCATAGAGTACAGCTGCTCTGGTTGCAACCCTGTCTCTCATGCATTCCGGAAAGGGACAGGACTCATGCAAGAGCAGGGAAAGTAATGACCCCACAGAGGAACATCTGGCATCTCACGAGTCACCTGCTGCTGGTCTAGGCCTCTCTTGTGTCCTCTATGGCACTGGGGAGTGGAGAACACTTTTTCCTCCGTGAGTGCAAAGGGCTGCCTGGTTGCCTGTGGAGAGACATGGGGATAGTTAGTGGTAGTAATGAGCAATGAGAAGAGGCTGCAGCAGACAACTCCTGGGGAAGTGGCAGAGGAGGGGGGTCCTGCCCCCAAGTGCTTCTAGTCAACAGAGGTTGGATGGTCATCTGCCAGGTTCCATCCATTTAGCCTCGGTTCCTGCATTACAGGGGGTTGGACTAGATGACCCTTGGAAGTCCCTCTACAGTTCTATGATTTCTTTTTGTTGGCAGCTGGCCTGGGGTCTGCATCCAAAGAGATGCTTCTTGAGGGAGATGCTGTCACCAGTGAAACAGCCCTCACCCAGAAGCACCAAGGAGCGGCCCTGGAGCTTGGCGTTCATGTCCGCTGGCTCTGATCCTGCTAGGAAAAACAGGACCCAGCAGATGGTTCACCTACAATGGTACCAGGCTCCCCTTTGTTTGTGCCAGTGCATAGTGAAAGAACTGATCTAGATTTGGGGCCCGGCAGTCAACAGATCCCCTGTTTTTGTGCATGGGACATACTTGTGGGAGATGCTGCTGCACCTTGCTGAGCCAGGGTGTGGGGTTGTTTAAGTCAGAATGCCTTGGTCTGCATTGCATGGGAGGGGTGGGGAAGACATGCGGAGGTCAGGGGGGAGGAGGAGAGATGGGAGGAATGCAAAAGGCTCTGCTTTTTACCTGTGGTGGTCCTCTTGTCCTTGGAGTTGCCGATTCTTGAGAGTATTTATATTTGAAGTCTGGAATCGTAGCACCTGTAAAAGGTCTGAGAACACAACTGTTATCTATCTAGCCTTTCTCCCCCATCCTTATTGGGGGAAAGTTCCTTTGGCTCCTGGGTATTTTTGTTTCTTGTGCAAAGTTTTAATAATAATAATAATAATAATAATAATAATAATAATAATAATTTATACCCTGCCCATCTGGCTGGGTTTTCCCAGCCACTCTGGGCAGCTTCCAACAAAGTATTAAAACACAGTGGTCTGTTAAACATTTAAAGCTTCCCTAAACAGGGCTGCCTATCATCAAATGCCCCATCACTAAAGTACCCACTTACTTAATCCTAGTTTTCCAGACATGAGCATCTCTCCAAACCATGTTCTGGTCAACTGTTTCCTCACCAGGGTTGATGAACACTTCTGTATAGTGACTGGCTGCAGAACGGGACTTTTCTGCATTGTGGCTCTGCGGTTAGAAAGGTTTGAATGTCCTGATGCAACAGAATCCAGGGCTCCCATGCCTTTAATAGTTGTGTAAAAGAAGCAATTAAAGGGTCAGCAGCCCTGTTCTCTCATGTGCCTGGCCAGTCTAGTTTCAGGCAGGGGACAGCCATTCAAGTAGGGTTCTTCCTTCATTGACTTTGAGGGATACTCTTTACTTATGCCACCCCTTTTACAGGCACATTATGCCATCACAAGCTCTGCCCCTCTCATCTTCTTAAGAACATAAGAAGAGCCTGCTGGATCAGGCTCTAGTCCAACATCCTGTTCTCACAGTGGCCAACCGAATACATTTCTGTGAAGCCTGTAAGCAGGACAGAAGCACAAGAGCACTCTCTGCACCCGCAATCCCCAGTAACTGGTATTCAGAAGCATTTCTGCCTCCAACTGTGGAGGCAGAACATAGCCAAAATGGATAGTAGGCTTCAATAGCCCTTTCTTCTCCATGAATTTGTCCAGTCCTCCCCCACCAGTCTTGACATCATATGAGTGGGGGAGAGGGTCATCATCCACAAGCAGTGGAGGACTTTGGGCTTGCAAATTTCAGTAGCGCCCTGTGCAACACCAATTCTCTTCCCCCTCCCAGCATTTCGCCTTCCATTCTAAGTCGGTGCCAAGAGTGTGACAACCAGTGGCACTCCCTTAAATCTTCCTCTAGCACAATTGGGTCTCATAGATTGATACGGTGTTCAGCTTGACTCTTACAGAGAGGCTTAGCAGTGATCCAATCCCTGCCCATTAGGCAAAACTTGGAGTATATACCTCTAGCTATCATTTAAATTTTATAGGGAAAGAAAGAAAAAGGAAGAGAAAGAAAGAAAGAAAGAGAGAGAGAGAGAGAGAGAGAGAGAGAGAGAGGATTTAAAACAAGAAGACTCTAAACATTTGAGAAAATGAAATGTTGCCGTGTATGCCCACCTCCCAAGAGTCAGCCTGGAACAGGAGCTCTGTGGTGCCCTCCTCTTTTTGGGTGGTGGGCCCGTTTTGTTCCCAAACTCTTTGGCACTCATTAGAGGAAGCGAGGGTGATGGAGTGTCATCAGAAATGTTCCAGGAGTTGTCAGCCTGCCTGAAAAGGCCAGAGCAATCTGGCAGTCTGCTGTGTCTTCCGCTTCTCCTCCATCTTTCAAAATGCTGTAGAGAAATCTCAGATCGTGTGTCTTCAAGCAGACGCCGAACTGGCAGCCTGTTATTGACCCATTGCTGAGTTCTGTCAATATACATGAGCAAAGGGATAAGGCGCTAGTTATCGGGCAGGAGCTGTTCTTTAGCCCAGTGGGAGGCCGCCTTAATCAAAGGAGTGAGCCTGGATTCCCGCTGGCACCTTCCATGCCCCCCCAAAGCCTGGATCCGTGTCAAGTTCTGGTTCATTATAGCCCAAACAGTGGATAATATTGGGCCTCTGCGAGGGCTTTTCCTGGGGTGCCTGAGGCTGGTTAAGTGCTTCGCTGGTGGCAGGTGATCCTTCCTGCTGCTTTCAAGATTTGGTTTTACTGTACAACATTTTGAGCGTGTGATTAGAACGCTATTGTGCAAATCAATCAAAAATAAAAGCGATAATAATTTCATGGCGGAAGCCCAAACAAAAGGGTTTTCCCCCTGGAAATTTAACTTGGGGCTGGGGAGATGCCAGAGGAAAATTGAGCGACGGAAGGGCTGGTATATATGGCAAGGACCTCTGACAACCACATTCCTATAGACCCACATCACTCCAACCAGAGAACTGAATGTGCACCAGTGGTATCCTTCAGGGACGGGGATCCCTCTTCAGGCCAAGGGCCGCATTGCCTTCTGAGCAACTTTCTGAGGGCCAGATGCCTGTGGTAGGTGGAGCCAGAAGGGAAAGGGGGCAGAACAATGAATGAGCATTTTGCCTTTGTACAATGGGCTAGTTTCGACACACACTGACCTACCACACGCTATCTTCCATCCAGACAAGGAAGAGGTGCTATTAGAGTTCAAGGACACATCAGAGCCAGGCCAAGCCACTCGTGGCCAGCGAAGGCTGTGCCTTGGGGAGAGTTCTGATGGCCAGATAGAGAGGCGTGGGGGGCTGCATTTACACCTCGAGTCTTGAGGTTCCCAGCCTCTGTGGGTGGCCACAAAACGCCTGCACATGCAGAATTCTCCATTCACTTCAGTGGATGATGTGTGGCAGGCTCCATGTGCATGGCTGTAGCCAGAAATACTGCAGCTATGATGGTGCTATGATGGAAATGTCACCATTCTTGTTTATTATATATTGCAGAATGAAATAAAAACAGTTAAAAAATAAAATTGAATGTGAAACTGCACATGCTCAGAGTATTTCTTTTATAAATATTGGGGTTGACAAACTCTTCTCTCTAATGTATCAGGAATTTAAAGGCAATCGATCTGTTAGTGTGGCCACAGCTACACTTTGGAACTCCCTGCCTATTGATATGAGGCAGGCACTCTTTCTGGAGCCTGCTAAAAGCATTTTTGTTTAGACAAGCCTACCCAGATGCTTAGAAAGCTGGTGCGAGTTTTAATTTGTTTTTTAAACTTTTCATAATTTTAATTATTTTTGCTATTTTTTTCTTATTGATAATTTTTTTGTTTTATCTTTTTTGTAAACTGCTTTGAAGTTTCCTCCCACAACCAAGCATAATTATTATACTAAACTACATAAAAACATGCAATGTAAAACGAAATGCAAAAACATGGAATGACGTGGCAGGGGATGGGGAAGGGGAAAATGTGTGTAATGTAGTCATACCCCATAGAAAGGGGGCCTCCTGCAATACAATTAAGTCTAGAATTATGTAGCCACAACTCTGGATGGCTGAAAGCTCCCTGTCCCATTGGGGGGGGGGAATCAATGTGAAATAAATTTATTTCAATATATGTTATATTCAGAATATTGTATTGCTGGTATCTGACTATATGCCGTCTGGGGAAAATAGTAAATATATCTTAATGCCAAGGTCACAGGTTGGAAGTGTGGGCAATGTCTGCATGCTACATCTGGGAAAAATTAGTAGGCTTTTTCTTGGGGGGGGGGGTTTGTAATCCATATAAATACTATAACTGGATACACTTTGCAGTTAGATCCTCTACAAATTCTATTAGATTTTAAAATAAAATGAAAACCAATGTCTAGGAAGAAATGCGAGACCAGCACTTAAATATCTAATAACTACTAAATGGTGCTCACCTAGTATATCTGCAGAGCAAGAGGGGGTTTATTAAGATGAGGCTGACAGCTAAAAGAGAGCTAGTGTGGTGGTGTGGCTAGAGTGCTGGACTAAGAGCTTGGAGAGTCCAGGGTTCAAATCCCCCCAGTTCATTCATGGAGCTCACTGGGTGATCTTGGGGGCCAGACACTGCCTCTCAGCTTAACCTGCCTCATAGCATTGTTCTGCAAATTAAATGAGGCAGGAGAGATCTAGGTATGCCACCTTAAGGTCATCGGAGGAAGAAAAGGTGGGATACAAATGCATCAATCAATCAATCAATCAATCAATCAATCAATACATACATACATACATACATAAATCAATCAATCTCCCATCAGCCACAGCCAGAGAGTGATGCTCCCATCAGACCCAGGATTCTACAGACCAACCTGACTATGCCAGATGGGAGTTGTAGTCCAAAAGATCTGGAGGGTACCAAGTTGGGGAAGGCTGCCAACTCCATTGCATTCAAATAGCTTCCCAAAAACCACATACTGGAAAATTCTATTCCTTTTGATGTTGCCACATCCCGCCCCCCTTGATTTGCTTTCATATAAATCCCTCCCTACTCTCTCACTCAGTAATTTAGACAAAAGAATGAATCAAAAGCGATCTGAAGGAGTGCATCTGAAACAGGCTTCCTCAACCTCGGCCCTCCAGATGTTTTGAGACTACAGTTCCTATCATACCTGACCACTGGTCTTGCTAGCTAGGGATCATGGAGGTTGAGGAAGCTTGATGTGAAGCTTCAAACTGATATATAACACTGGATCTGCAAACAATTCAAAATGTACTATTGCCAAAATATGTGGTGACCCTGTTAGGATATTTCCGTTCCACCTTAAAAGGGAGCAGGCTATGAGTCACAGAGTCTGCGTATTTCCTGTTCACAGGATGTTTATGTTTTCTGTTGCTTTCGTTTTCTCTTGTGTCGCAGACACTAAAGCAGGCAGTCACGTTTTTCTGTGTTCTGATCAACGCTGAATAAACTTGTAAATAATGCTCTCCTGATTGCAACTTTTGGCTGTGCATTATCTGCTGATAGAGTGTGCATGAGCTCTGGAATGTGGCAAGAAATCTTCTAGAAACTCATGTCGCTAATTGATGATACTGCGTGCCTACGGGAGGTCGATGGATCGTCCGGCAGACGGCTTGGGGCCATGATGGACTTTATCTCCCTGGCAGTATCCCAACAACAGGTTTCGGGCCCAGATTCACAGCACTTACAGGAGAGTAAGACTGCGACAGACTGCTGAAAGGTATGTGGAGGAAAAGCGAAAGTAAGGCTTTTCTGTTTGCCGCGGCAAGAGCTTTGATGTCCGGAAGGCCCTAATTGGTCTGGGCGTCGAGCCCAGCAGGCCTCAAGATTAATGAGCTGCTAAGATAAGACGTCTTTGAAGGCATAAAGGCTCAAGGCTCAAGTAAAAAGCTGGAATGGAGTTTTTCCAGGCTTCTGAGGCTCCTGAGTGCCCAAAGTTAAATCGGCACAATTATGGGACCTGGGCTGTGTGGTGTGAGAGCTTGCTGCGTCAGTTTGGAGTGTGGCATACTGTGTCTGAAGCCCCTCCAGTTCCTCTGACAGATAGATGGGAGGCCGAGAATTTGAGGGCGATAGACGTAATCGTCTTGTCCGTCTCTCTGGAGGAAATAAAGACGCTAGCTGGCAATCTGACTGCACGAAAGATGTGGCATGCTTTGAAGATAGCCCATTTGCCAGTCATCCCAGCCCAGAGTTTGACTGCATCGGAGGTCCTGGCTGTTTCCCAGAATGCGAGTGAATGCAGGGATGCTGAGGGCACCGGTTGCAAGCTGCAGGGGGAGCATTCCAGCCTCCAGGGGGAGCCAAGGAGTCGGCAGCTGAGAGCTCTGTTTCTCATGGGAGCCAAGGTCATCGCCTTTGCAGAGGCCGGAAGGGCAAAGGTAAACAGAGGCAGACACCTGCAGATGGCCAGAAGCAGAGGGAGGGTGAAGAGCCCACGCCAGTGGAAAACAAGGTTTTGTTTACTGGCACAGCTTCACCAAAGGCTAAAGGCAAGTCTGATGGCCAGGAGCAGGGGGGCAAGCTGCAAAAGCCCACGCCGGTGGAAAACAAGGTTTTGCTTGCTGCAAAAGCTGCTCCAAAGGCCAAGGCCAGGTTTGTTGTTGATTCAGGCTGTACCCGCCATGTCTCAAAGGACCGCCACCTATTTATCTCCTTCAAGCCTCAAGAAGGTGAGATCCACCTGGCTGACGGAAAGACGTTGCGAATTGCGGGAGAAGGGACTGTGAAACTGGCAAGTCTGCACACGACCATCAAAGATGTACTGTATGTTCCAGGCGCTGCAGACAATTTGCTCAGTGTCCCACAGTTGACTGGGCGTGGTTTTGAGATTTCCTTCAAGAGGAGCGTCTGTGTCATCAGAAAAGGCAAAGAGGACATTTTGCATGCAAAGTTTATGGATGGCTTGTTCTGTATAACTTATGATGACAGTGCTGCTGTTGTGTCTAATGTTGATTCTTGTTGTGTTGCACAAACTAACAAAGTTCTTCATGCAGGATGCATTCACGATGCACATCGAAGGTTTTGCCATCTCTCTTGGAAGGCACTGGCCAAGATGCCAGAGATGGTTGAGGGTTTGAACATCAAACCCTGTAAGTTTCACATGAAATGTGTATCTTGTGCAGAGAACAAGGTGAAGGTTGCTCCAAAAGGCAAGGAGTCTAGCAGGCAGGCTTCCAAACCCTACCAGCTAGTGCACGCAGACCTGGTTGGTCCACTTGCGCCCTCTTTGGGTGGAGCAAGGTACTTCATGGTTCTAATTGATTCTTTTTCCAGGTACATTCATGTGTTTATGCTCGAGCAGAAATCGCAAGCGTTTCCTAAGTTCAAGGCATTCTGTGCTTGGTTGGAGAATGTTCACGGTAAACGTATTGGCTGTCTGTTTACTGATCGAGGCGGGAGTTCACTTCTCAGCAGTTTGAAGCTTTCCTGACTGAGAAGGGAATCCAGCATGACTTGTCAACGCCTAGATCGCCATGGATGAATGGGCTTGCGGAGCGAGCAAATCAAACGTTGCTGCAAGGAATGAAAACATTGTTGCATGATGCCAATCTCCTGATAAGTATTGGGGGGAGGCTCTGGCGAATTTTGCTTACACTTATAATCGCAGATTGTCATCACCTATTGGTTGTACTCCCTATGAGAAGATGTTTGGTAAGAAACCCAACATCAAACACATGAGAATCTTTGGTTCTGACATGTGGGTACACACCCCACAGAGCAACAAGCTTGGGAAGCGTGGGGCACATGGTTTGTTCATGGGGTACGAAAAGGTGCATACAGGGTGTGGATGACCAACTCTAAGTCCATTAAGTTCACAAAGAGTGTTGAGTACAATCCTAAGTGGGGGGAAAATGTGGGAATTTTCCAGAGTTACCCAGAGGAGGATGAAGGTGATGTCAAAGAAGCAGCTAAAGCTGAGGAAGCTGCTGAGGATGATGATGACGATGATGATCAGAGTTCGGATTCCAGTTCAGTGGGCGGCGCTGCTGCTGGTGTCAGTGACAGTGATGACACAGCAGACTACAAGAGCGCAAAGGCCTCAGTCAGACCATCTGATGCGTCTGACAATGAACTGGAAGAACCACTGTTCACCATTGGTCACTTTTCTCCTAAGAAGGAGGAGATGAGTCCAGAAGACTTGCGTCTAGTACGCAGATCTGAGAGAGCCACCAAGGGCAGACCTCCAAAGAGATTTGCTGATGAGTTTGCTAAGACAGCAACTGCTGTTCTTAGTAGCTCAGAGAAGGTATGGGAACCTTCAAGCTTCAAAGAGGTTCAGGAGTTAACCTCTAAAGATGCTGAGCCTTGGCTTAATGCCATGAAGGCTGAAGTTGATTCCTTGAACAGGAACCAAACTTGGGAACTGGTACCGGTAGTCCCAGGAATGAGACTGGTTGGCAGCAAATGGGTCTTCAAGGCCAAGACAGACCAGAATGGCAAGGTTGTCAGACACAAAGCCAGATTGGTTGCCAGAGGTTTTTCACAGGTACCAGGACAGGATTACCACGAGACCTACTCACCCACCGTCAAATATGAGAGCATTCGGCTGATGCTCAAGATAGCTGCAGAGGAGAAACTGCATGTTTCCCATCATGACATTAATACAGCTTTTTGTACGGGATTTTGGACGAGGAGCTGTTTATGCTTCCACCTGATGGAATGCAGATACAGAAGGGAATGGTCTGTAAACTGCGGAAATCCTTATATGGTCTCAAGCAGAGTGCCAGGTGTTGGAACACAAAACTCACTGAGACATTGCTTTCTCTAGGTTTTCACCAGGGCAAAGCTGATCCATGTGTGTTTGTCAAGGAGGAGGGGCAAAACAAACTGTATTGTTTATGTTTTGTTGATGATCTTCTGATGTTTTGGAAGAATCAGGCTTTCTACCAAAGCACCCTAGCTCAGCTGAAGGAGCACTTTGACATGAAGGATCTTGGTGAGGTATCCAACTATCTTTCTCTGCAGGTGGAGAGGGACCAAGCAGGTAATTTTCTGGTACACCAAACACAGAAAATTGCTGATGTATTAACCAGGTTGAATTTGGTTGATGCAAACCCAGCAGACACACCGATGGTGACAGGTTACCAGGTAGATAGTACTGCTGAAGCGTTTTCTGACACAACGCTGTACAGATGCATTCTAGGCAAGTTGAATTTCATTGCTAGATGCTCAAGACCTGACATAGCTGTAAGCTGTAACCTGCTTAGCAGACATGCTAACAATCCTACTGTTCAGGATTGGAAAGCTCTGAAGCGCATAGCCCGCTATTTGAAAGGGACTTTGCACTACAGGCTGAGGTTCACCAGTCAGAAGACTGGAGGTCTTGAAATCTTTGCAGATGCAAGTTTTGGAAGTGACACCACGGATGGTACAAGCACTTCTGGAGTATGCTACATGTACAACCACTGCCTGTTTGACTGGTTGTGCAAAAGCAGACGACAGTGAGCCTAAGTTCCTGTGAAGCAGAACTCAATGCTCTGTCATTTTCACTCATGGATTGTGAATGGTTGATGCAACTGTTTAAGGACATCAGAGTTTCTGTGAAATGTCCTGTACAAGTGTATCAAGACAATAGATCGTGTTTGGCTTTGCTGAACTCGGAGAGTTGCAAGCAAAGGACCAAGTACTTGCAGATTAAGCTACATCGTGCAAGAGAGTGTATTCAGAAAGGACTCATTCAGGTGTCCTACATGCCAGGAAATGAAATTCCTGCTGATCTGTTGTCTAAGGTTGTTAACAGAGAACAACTTAAGGTTTACGTACAAAGGTTGCAATTGGGTTGAACCACAGGTACTACAGGTTACACGGAAAGGGGAGGATGTTAGGATATTTCCGTTCCACCTTAAAAGGGAGCAGGCTTTGTGAGTCCAGAGTCTGCGTATTTCCTGTTCGCAGGATGTTTATGTTTTCTGTTGCTTTCGTTTTCTCTCTGTGTCGCAGACACTAAAGCAGGCAGTCACGTTTTTCTGTGTTCTGATCAACGCTGAATAAACTTGTAAATAATGCTCTCCTGATTGCAACTTTTGGCTGTGCATTATCTGCTGATAGAGTGTGCATGAGCTCTGGAATGTGGCAAGAAATCTTCTAGAAACTCATGTCGCTAATTGATGATACTGCGTGCCTACGGGAGGTCGATGGATCGTCCGGCAGACGGCTTGGGGCCATGATGGACTTTATCTCCCTGGCAGTATCCCAACAGACCCCCCCCCCAATTAAAAGTCACTAATATTTTTCCATGAAGAGATTTTAGACAGCATGTTTCAATAAAACTCACAGCATCTACTTTCCCCCCTACAGTGGTACCTCGGGTTACAAACACCTCAGGTTACAAACACTTCGGGTTACAGACTCCACTAACCCGAAAGTAGTAACTCGGGTTAAGAACTTTACCTCAGAATGAGAACAGAAATTGCATGGTGGTGGTGGCAGTGCAGCGGCAGTGGGAGGCCCCATTAGCTAAAATGGTACTTCTGGTTAAGAATGGTTTCAGGTTAAGAAAGGACCTCCAGAACGAATTAAGTACGTAACCAGAGATACCACTGTATATATTTTGGACAGAATCCGAACTATATTGTTTTTTCAGAGAACGACAAGGATAATTCTTGCATCCAGATGCATTTCCATGAGGTGGCTATATAAATTCATAATGAATAATATCATAATATTCAATGTTTGATTGAAATAATCGGAATAACTGAACTATTTGACCCAATGAACGCAAAACTGCAGTGCTTGATAATAGAGTTAAAAAGCTGAATGAACTGTTGTAATATTTCAATTATTTTTAAAAATACAAAAAAAAGTCTTTCTGCAATGATATAAAAACTGGTTCAGTTTTTAAAAAAACCACCCTTGCTACACACCAATAGAAGTCTATATCCCTGCAGTAGAGTAAAAGAGCACAGCACTGATCTAGTCAGGGTTAAGTTCTTTCAAACCCCACAGTGGAAGAATTAAGCCTTTTTCTGAGCCTGATAAGGATCCTATCTGTGATGGTCCCTGGCTTGTAGAACGCCCTCCCCTCAGAGGTATGTCTGATATGGACTCTTTCTTTTTATTCCAGCTCCAGGCAAAGCCTCATTTCTTTGCTGAGGCATTTGGTGACATCCATTTTAATCCATATTATTGTTGGAGTTCTGAATCATAATCTGTTGTTCTTAAGGATCTGTAGCTGTAAGAACTTGGGGGTCATAAGAAGCTGCATTCCTATGGCCCATCTAGCTCAGTGCTGTTGACAGTGATGGGCAGCAGCAGGTAGGGGGTTTCAGGCAGGGGTCTCTCCCAGCCCTAGAGATGCCGTTGGATTCTTCTGCATGCAAGGTAGGTTGGTCAGGAATCCTGGTGGCTTTACATGCCTTCGTTGCCCTGTACGTCGAGGGAATTTTCATCCACCTTGAGATCAGTTGTGAGGAAGACTGGGCAAAAAATACATTACGGGAATAAGTAAAATAGAATAGCTACCAGTCTATTGGTACTGAATTTTCCAAGCATTAGGAACATTGGAAGTTGCCTTATCCTGAGTCAGACCATTTGGTCCATTGAGCTCAGTATTGTCTACACTGACTGGCAGTGTCTCTCCAGGCAGGGTGCTGTTCTCTTTCATTCAGGGCGTCTCTTCCAGATCCAACTGGCAATATCAGGGATTGAAAGTTGGACACAGTGCATGTCAATCAGATATTCTGCCACTGAACGATGTTCCTTTCCATTGAAGGAAAGGAATTTCAATTATTCAATTCAAAAGCATAAGTATGCCCCTCTCATAGGATTGGTTACTAGATCGGTGGGTGCTGACTCTTTGAGCGCCAACATTTAGAGCACTAGAAGTCAGACACATTTAACACATTTTAAAATCCAGAAATGTGGATACTGCAGACGCAGGCATCTTCAACAAAGGAAGTCTCTCTCTCTCTCTGTGTGTGTACCTTTCTCCCTCTCTCAGTGTTATTAATGCTCATGGTACTCAGGGAAATCGTGATGATAAGAGTTCCTGACGTGGGAGTAATATTGAACGAAAAAGACCAAAGTTCAATCTAGTCCAACATTCATTCAAGCAGAAGCGTCTGAGAAACCTGAAAGTAACACATGGATACAATGCTTGTTTCCAGCACCTGAGGTTCACAGGTAGACTCCTCCTGTTCATGGAAGCTCCATTTAGTCGTCGTAACTCATTACTGCCTGCAGCACGGGCACGGGCTACAAATCCCATTCTCTCTGACAACTGGCCACACAGCTGGTGCTGATGAGAGTTCAGCAACACCTGGAGGGCTGTAGGGTTCACCATCCCTGTTCTCTGCACCTCTTTTGAAACACTATTAAAGGCCATCTGGAACAGTGAGCTAGCTAGCACTGGGATTTTATACTTGAGAATACACCCAGATGATTTCTTAGAGAAGCCCCTGATTGCCATGTGCTTCTCGTCTTCAGCAGAAGCATCTCAGTACTTCAGGTATCCTTGGCTTCAAGAACCAGACCCAATGGACTCTCCCACCAGCCACATACTTGACCCTTTCATGGGAAGCTCAGTTGGGAAAGGAGGGGGCAAATTGTCCCCTCCCTCTCCCTTTGGACAGTTTTGCTGCTCAAATTTTGCTGGAGGAAACTATGGCTCTTCGAGCACCACACCAGCCAGCAGATCACAAAGCAAACTCCCAGGCAAAGGGCAAGTGGGTGCCTGCACCTTCTCGTGACAAGAAGCCGGTCTTCTTCAACAATGTTGGGTTGTCAACAACTGGCCATTGATTGGATTGTAAGGGCAAGGGAGAAAAGGAGGCCTGGCTTGCTCTTGTGCCTTTAACAGGCACTGGACCTGCAGGAGTCGGCAGATGAGGCTGCTCACATCCGTTACAGGCAGAGCTACAGAGGCTGCTTCAAAAGTTGGCAGCTCTATTGCATTGTCTGAAGCCTCAGTGCTTTTGTAGTGGGGGGTGGAGGGAGGATAAATTTGATTCCACTCTGTTTAGATGTTGGAAGAAATATTAATCCGCACTCTCTAGCTTGAGCCTCATGGTGTCTCCCATTTTAGGTAGGAATTAAACATGGAAGAGCAGCTACCTCTTTCAGGAATGACCTTGAGCTTCCCGGCACCTGTTTGAGTTTGGAAATCTTTTGCTTGCTCCCATGGAGATAAAGTAAAATCATCATCATCATATTTACTGTTAATTTACATAGACATTGAAGGTGTTCACAGCACTCCACAAACAGCAGCTCAGCAATCCTTACAACTACCCTGAAAGGTAGTCTGATATTATCATCATCCTTATATTGCACCAAAAATGCGCAGGTTGAGGGTTGCCTAAGGCAGCCACTCTCAGCTTTGTTTCCCATCCACCTCTGTGTTTTGGATAATTCCCACCAGTCTCATGCAGCACAGCCCATAGTCAGGGCTGATGAGCGTTGTCGCTCAAACCATTTCATTACTTTTTTTATTTATTTACTGCATTTCTATCCCACCTTTTCCACCAAGGAGTTCAATGTAGTTTTCCTCCTCCCCATTTTATGCCCACAACAACCCTGTGAGGTTGGTGAGCCTGAGAAGCAGTGAATGGCCCAAGGTCACCCAGTGAGCTTCATGGCTTAGCGGGATTTCGAACACTGGTCTCTCCCAGGCCCTAGTCCAACACTCTAATCTGCCTGTCAACATCTGACTTAATGACACCTAGCAAGCTCTTGCCTGAGTTGAGATTCGAAATAAAGCCCCCTACACACACACAGTACCATTTGCAACATAGGGATGGCATCTGTATCCCATTCCTGTAAATCACATATATTCCAAACTACATAAGCATGAGAGGAAAAGGGAAAGAGAAATTGCCTCTCAGTCTTTCTACTCAGATCTCTGAGCATCACATTCGAAGCAGACAGATCCTTCCATTGATCAACGGAGCCAGATAATTTCCTAGTCCAGAGATGCATAACAAGGAGGCTAATGAAGCACTGGGCAGCCAGAAAGCCATTCACAGCCAGGTGTTAAATTGACACAGCATTTGATGGCAACAGAAGCAATCGCTGCAATCAGAAGAAAGTTACTGCCCAACATGCCTGTTGGAGCCTCTCTTAAGCTCCAAGGCATTTACGTTGTGACGCAGGCCCAAGTGATGCCTCCCCATAATTTTCTGTCTCTAGGAAAATGGGACGTCATCACCACCACCCTCCCTTCACCCTAAAGTCACTAAGCTGGTTGCAACAGTTAAAACAGTTTAAAACAACTCGCAACAACAGAAATAAGGTGCGTCCTGAAAATATCTACCTCCTAGATACATACTACTGCTAAAACCAAATCTTGGAGCAGCAGTTAGCAGCAAGAGCAATAGAATTAGCCTTGCTGGTGAGTACTGTGGATGCCAAAGACTCGGGTATTTGGGACTCTTGAGTCATGAGCATGGGGGTTGTCTCAATTTCTCTCCCCTGAGAGCCATTTGGATGCCGTGTGAATGCGCTCAGCTTGGTCCAGTGTAAGGAATTGAGACTGAGATTATATAGTCACCTTGTGTGTCTTTTTGAGACAAAAAGTTAGTTGTTTTTTTTGGGGGGGGGCAAATTGTCTAAATAAATAAATATTGGACCAACTAATGTTTGTGACTCCATCCTTTCCTCTTTTATTTACCCCCCCCCCCTTTGGACATTTTGGGTTGCAGAAGAATTCTGTCTCTCTTAAGTCCTTGGCTTACAGAATGACCATCAGTTGCTCCAGGAAAAAGGAGTGTGCCTTGTTTCATGTTCTGGCATAGAGGTGAGAAGGATGGTTGAACTCCCACCACCCCCACCACCCCTCCCCCCTTCACTCTCATGACCTTCCTTAGCCTGAGTACCCATTGACCTTGGACTGAGCTGCCTGCCTCTTTCTCATAGACATTAGACAGCCTGTCCCTTCAATGGACCTCTTCACATGGCCCACCTGGAGCAATGATCAGCTGCAAAAGGTGAAATGAAGCTTCTACAGAAAGATACGAGGAAGGCTGAGCCAAGACTATATATAAGCTAGAGTAGGTTTTCTGGATGGGGGATACACAGGGAATAGGCATTGACAGGGGACTGTGGGCAGTGAGAACACCCTCTCCCCACATTGCTTCATGCAGCAGTTGCCAAAGAGTGGGATCTTTGCATTTATCCACCTACACAAGCTGGGGGGGGGGGAGCGGTTAAAGACTAGTGGGCAGAGACATGGAACACTTCCCTGATGACTCACTGAAGCTCCTGATAACAGGCAGCTTGAGAGATAAATTTGGCTTCCTTTTTGGCCCAGCTCTCTGGAAGTTTGAGGACCACCGGGCTAATGGACCACATCAGCATTCTCTTGCAACAGTGCGTAAAGACAGAGAAAGACTCCAAACCTCTGTGGCTTGAAACAGAGAGAAGGGTGGGGTGGGGGTGGGGATTAGCTCATTTTTAAAAACCTGCAGCTGTGCTAGTCTACTTAGTCTTGCTTGTGGGGAACGGTGGTGGTGGGGAACATAATGAACCTCCTGGGATTATTTACGTATGTGGCTTAAATCACTTTCTCTTGTAACATACAGATAACTATTGTGACAACAGGAGAAACTGAGTGTGAGGGAGACCAAGGAAGGAAGGAAGGGAGGGAGGGAGGGAGGGAGGGAGGGAGGGAGGACAGTATAAAGTGTTCTTGTCATATTGTAGAAGTCCCTTTGTAGCCCCCCAGATTCACACCATGATCTTAATGAAGGTGACATTCAATAACACAAAGGGAGAAACCCAGAATCCAAGTGCTCCTTCGGATGCTGGTATTTGTCATTGCCTAATAACACTCCTTGATGCCCACACCATCTCCACAGCCAAGGAGGGTTAACTAAAACACCACAACACTAAAAACAAAACAAAAAAACCCTCAACTTCCTCAATGGTCATTTGGTTCATGATCAGTTTCCCAAGGAACCTTTTGTTAAATGCACACACACACACCTCTGCAACAAGTGAGCCCTGGTCAGAGAAAACAGTCACCCCAGCCTACCCTGCGGCACAAATTCTAGTCCCATCTTTGCAGGAGTCAAAGCATGCATGAAAATATATTCTTCCTACTCTCTCACCCTTCCTACTCTCTCAATGGGCAGGGCTTGTCTTTGCCATTACCTGACCATCTAATGCTTGCCTGTCTTCCTGGCATAGATTGTAACATATAGACATGTAATAATGGAGCAGGACACCATTAGAGCATCACAAGAGCCCTGCAACTGGATCCACCTATTCTAACATCTTGTTCTCACACAGTAGTCAACCAAATGTCCCAGTCTGAAGCCCACAAGTGTGCAACAGCCCTTTCCCACCTCGGTGTTGTGTCCTGAGACCCACACTGCAATGTTTAGCCAAAAAGAAGTCAGAGCAGAGTCCAAAGCTAGAAGCAGACCCAGGCAAAGGCTTGAGACTCTAAGGGCCCAAAGGGAAGTTTCTAGGGCTGTGGGTTCTCTCTGCATCTCTCAGGCAAAGCCAAACTTTCCCCATGGAAGCAACACCACTTCCCCTGACTGTGCTACAACATTAGTCCCAGCAGTCCTCCCTTCACCCCATCCCAGCTCACTTCCAAAAGACTAGGAGAGCCCAGAGCTGGCAACAAAGAGTTGGGTTTCAATACCTTCCAAGCAGCAGGTCCTCCACAAGCCCGAGTGGGTCATGACTTCTTCGTTTTTCCTGCTGGTGTCATTGTCGTTTGTGGACTTAGTCCTGCACACCCCCCTGGAATACAGCCAATAGTCTGTGCCCACCGCGATGGTCATGAGGCTGAACGCTGCAAAGGCTCCCAGGGTGGTGATCAGCATCTGGATACCTCTGTCACACATCCTCATAATGATGCATGGTATCGTGGGCAGCCAACCGGAGGGGAAGGCAAGGCAGAGGGAGAAAGAAGGCAAAGGTGTCGCTCACACTCCCCTGGAGCTAGGGGGCCGGAGGCATGCAGGGGAAGGGCTGCCCTTTCTCTACACGAACCGGGCTCTCCACACCAGAGGAGGGGGACCCCTTGGGCTCCTCAGGTGCTGGTCTTCTGCGTTTCGAGGGATCTCCTCCCTGCCCCTCTTGGATGGAGCATGAGGCTGAGATCCAGCCAGGCGCCTGCTGCTCATCCCCGATCCAGACCCCGCACGCCGGGCTCAGAAGCGTGCGGCTTGTCCTTCGTTCAGCCTGGGAGATCCAGACGCCTGTCACAAGAGCAATAAATAAATAAATAAAAAATTCCAAAGAGCTCGAGATCAACACGGTGTGTGTCTGCGTGTGTGTGCTAGAGAGAGGAAGAGGTGGGAGAGAGGATGCGGGTGGAATAGACAGAAATAGGTGCTTTAAAAGCAGCTGGGTGGAAATATCCCCCACGACTGGCGATGGAGAGAAGAGGAGATCGCTCCAAGCCCCCTCCCCGTCTCTGAAGCGACAAGCAAAGGCGGCGGCGGCGGCGAAAACTGCCAGAGGTGCGGAGCCCGCGACTGGAAAGGGAAGTCACTCCCGGGTCCCCTGTGGTGCTGAGCAGGCCCGCCCCCAGCTCGGCGCTGGAGGGATGGATTCCCCCCAGCCAGGCAGCGGGGTGGGTGGGCTCCTTGGGCTGGAGAGGGCCGCTCCCTTCCCGCTGCTGCTGCCGCCGCCCGCTCGGGCGCCGCGGTGCTGAAGCGGACAGCTCCCCGCGCGCCTGCCCGTGCCCTGGAGTGTGGTGGTGCTGAAGTGGACAGCTCCCGCGATTCTAGACTCCGGCTCCCTGTGATGTAAGGAGGCGCCTCCCACTCGCCTCCGGCGCTCTCCAGGAGGGATTCTGCTGGAACTTTTTGGTGAAGGAGGTGGAGGAGGAGGAGGATGGCTGCTCCCATCAGCAGGCGAGGCGCTTCCCTGCCGCTCCTGCTGCTGCTGCTGCTGCTGCCGCCGCCGCCGCCTGCAGCTGAGCTTTGACACTCGGACTGGTGAGCAGCTGCTTGTCCCAGCTGCCCATGTCCCTCCCAAAATACTGGAAGCGAGTGATGCAGAGATCGCACAGCTGCCTGGAAGGAAGAACCGAGCCGAGGAGAAGGTAGAAAAGTGGCTGATTACATGCGAGTTCGAGGCGGGGAGGTTGGCTTTCCAGGGAACTCAATTCCCTCCCCCTCCCCTCACGCACACAAGCAAGGCACACGAGGTATGCACACGCAGGCATGTGCAAGCACACAAACACACACTTCTCTCCTATAACACCCACAAAAACTTTCCCACAGGTTTATCAAGATGCTGTGGGGAAGGACTATAGCTCAGGGATAGAACAACTACTTTGCATACAATAGTTTCCAGGTTCAACAACCAGCATCTTCAGGTAGGGCTGGGATAGACCCCTAGCTAAAATGCTGCAGAGCTGCTGCCCATCAGTGCAGGTAATATAGAGCTAGATAGACCAATGGGCTGACGTTGTATAAGGCAGCTCCCTATGTTCCTTCCCATGTTTCCTAGCTCAGTGGAAACACATCTGCTTTGCATGCAGAAGGTCCCAGGTTCAAAACCCTGCATCTCCTGGTAAGACTAGAGGAGAACATGGTATGGAGCCTCAGACAACTGATGCCTGTCAGTGTAGAAAATACTTACTGGTTTCATCTGGTATAAGGAAGCTTCCTGTGTTCCTGTACTATCATGTGAGTACCATCTCACTACTTTTGACTAAAGGAAAATCAAGGTGCTAGTTTACTAGCAAAGTTGCTTGGAGCCCTTTGTTTCCCTGTGAGATCTTAAAGACCAACGATCTTATTACGGCATAAGCTTTTGTGAACTAGAGTCCACTTCATTAAATGTGTGGAAGGTACTCCTAAATAGGCATATACTGTAGATAGATAAATATAGAGTTTCCCCCCAGAGGGGAATGGATGGACCGAAGTGATGTCACAGGAAAATGAAATGCGTATTCATTTATTGCACTTACACCCCACATTTTTCTACAAGGAACTCACAAAGTGGCCTACACGATTCTCCCCCTCCGACCAAAAGTCACCTAGTGAGCTTCATGGCTGAGTGAAGATTTGAACCCTGGTCTCCCAGGTCCTGGTCTGACATTCTAACCACCACACCACATCGACTCTCCAGACAGCCTGTAAGGATTCAAAATAGTTAAGGTGATCATATACAAGGTTGGAGATGCCTGTTTTTCCCCAAACTGAGGTAATTATAGGTAAGTATAAAGTGACAGAGTTTGATGGCTAGTTATGCTGGAGCACCAGATCTGTGGCACTACCTTAGAGGTTGACATGGCTTCACAGTCTGCTAACCTTTTCATGGCTAGCTTGGAACTACCATTTGCTTTCTCAGTTCCTGTCCCCCATCCTTATCATTTGGACACAGTGCTTATGCTGTTCCACAAGAACTTCCACCTCACCATCCACCTGAACCTAGACCCATTCAGGTGGCAGCCTCACTTTCTGAACATGACTGTGCAATGACATAAAAATGGATATATAAGCTCAACTTTATATCAGAACCCTACTAAGGACATGTATCTACATGCATCTAGCTCCCATCCAGAACATGCTACAAAATCCATTGTCTGCAACAAAGCCCTAAAGTACAACTGCATCTGCTCTGACTCATCAAAGAGAGGCTCACAGCTTAAGGATTTGCATCAGTCATTTCTTAGGCTACAATCTCCACCCATTGATGTGAAAAAGCAGTTTAGTAAGAGCAGGCAGGTGCCTAGGAATAATCCACTGTAGCACAGACCCGTAATGGAAAATGGCAGAACACCTCTCTGTCACCCACTGGCTTTGTTGAAACCACTCCAGTGAATAGTTACATGCCACCCCAGTCTCTGAGTGGCAAGAGACTCCAGGGGTTCCAGTGCTTACCCAAATTTGGGTTCCTTGGAATAAAGGTCAGTAGAGACTGTGCTGTCCTTAGGATATATTGTTTTATTTACACATATATACACAACCTGATCATAAGATGGAGGGGCTCACAACACTAACACCCTGAAAAGATAATGCTTCTATATTATTTGCAGCTTTAGATCCAGCACAGAGCAAGCATGTCTGTGTCTCCCGCTTCCAGCCTGCTATCAAGCTCAGTTCACACAGACCATGCAGGCTATTGTTCTCCTACAGAGCAGCTAGGAGAGGTGGTGTGGAGGAAAGGCCCATCCATTAGCTTGGAAGGCACAGCCACTTGCAACCTAGCTCATTATTTTGGGATGCTGATGAGGACACTTAAGTGGCTGGCTAAGGTCATTGTCTTACAACAAAACTTGTCTGACCAGTCCAGCAATCTCCTACATTAGATTCTAACCCTCACTAGGTACAGGATCCCAAGAACTGGAAGGGACTTAGGGCATCATTCAGACTGACCCCCCAAGCTCATAATGTCATAATCAAGGATCTACAGCCCATCTAGGATAATGATTCTTCCCTTTCATAGGCCTTTGGGGAAGGTAAGCATCTAATTTATTACAGATGTCTCCCCCACCTCTACCTTAAACTAGCTACTCACCAGCAACAACAGGCCACATAACAGACACACAAAGACAGGAACCAGGCCCTGCAATGGACCCAGATTCCAGCTCTGTCCACATATCCACCCTGGCAACACTGTTATAGAACCTGGCAATGTCACCCACAACATCAGAGTGTTCATTTACCTGCTCATCTTCCAAAATATATGGTAGATTATATGCAATATAACCTGCCAGCAAAGCAGATTACACAAGACCAACAAGTCAGGCTTTCTGCAAAACAATAAGTGCGCACAAATCACATCAGAAAGACAATATTCAGAAACCAGTGGGAAAATATTTCAATCTCACAGGACAGTCCAATTCGTCTCTTAAAAAAGCCACGTTAGATCAAAGGGAAACTCCAGTTTGAAAGGACTGATTTGCAGTTTAACAGGAAATTCAATTCTGTCACCTGTGGCTTGAATGGAGATTTTCAGTTTTTATTCCACTGTTCATGCCATTTAGTTTAGCCAGCTAGAATGTTTGTGTCATCACCACCAGCATTTTGTTTATGGCCACTGTGACTTATTTTGCTTGGATATAATTGTCATTGTCTTTTCTTTAGGCATTATGTTGCCCTCTGACCTCACTCCTCAACATTCCCCCCCTGTCTTAATGTATATCTGTGTCTTCCAATTTAGGATTACACTGAATGATGAACATAAGAACATCTAGTCCAGCATCTTCGTCTCACAGTGGCCAACCAGGTACCCCAATGGGAAGCATGTAAGCAAGACATCTTTGGCCGAGGCTCTTAGTCTTCATAATGCAAAAGCTCAGTCTGCATACTCATTGCTCAGCTTCACCCCTTCCTATCCTGCTCTCTCCCAGGTACCCTCTCTCTCAGGTGCTTGTTACCCTTCTAGCTCCCACACTGTCTTCAAGACAGGTAATTGCATTGCTCTTGCTCACTAACAACTGTCTGCTTCTACCTAGGAACCAGCTCTTGCAATTTGGTCTTTTGCTCAAGTAACACCATGGAAAAACACCATAAAAACACAGCCGAATTCACAGGTGCCCTGAATGGGGCATTTTGTGACTCTTGCCCTCTTTAATGGATGGTATCTCTCCAGCCGAGTTTCCTTCTGGATGTGCTCTTATGGTCGTTAGATTTCTTAAGCTTCCTTTTGCTGCTGTTTGGATTGGATTATGACTCACGTAACCTTTCAAAATGCATCTCTGCCAAAACCGCTCTAGAATTAAAGGGTTATTTTAAACCTGCATGTATGTGATATGAAAGCAAATTATTTACTTGGGCATGGTATGCATTGTGGAAATTACAGATAGGCATGGATGCAGAATGGTTTCTGCTTTGACAGCAAAGCAGAAACCAGACTTTCCTTGTTTGGCTTTGTGACACCCTTGTGAGTTAAAGGGCACCATCATTCCCATTTCACAGCAAGGACAGTGAAGCCGAGAAACAGCCTTGATAAAGGCCACCAAAAAGCCTCTGGCTGTATTGGGATTAACACGGTGATTCATTTCTCTGTGGGGCTCAGGCCAGCCCTGGAAGTCTGGCTCTCCAGATGAGATCAGGGCTATGGGTGACTGTATCCAACTCTAGACTTGGAGAGCATGTTCTCCAACAAAGGGTTGGCATCAGAACTTGCCCTGCTGGATCATACCAAAGGCACATCTATCCAGCACCCTGTTCTCACAGTGGTCAACCAGATACCTCTGGGAAGCCTGCAAGCCGAACCTGGGATATCAGGACCTGAACATGGAACAGAAGGACCTGGGCACAACTGTTATCTTCCCTACTTGCTATCTCTCCAGCAACTGGTACTCAGCGGTACACCACCTCCAACTATGGAGGTGGTACATGGGCATCATGGCTGGTAGCCCTATCTTCTATGAATTTTCCAAACCCTCTTTTACAGCCACCTGAATTGGTAGCCATTACTACATATTCTGTGAGTTAATTCCATAGTTTAATTACGTGCTGTGTCAAAGAGCACTTTCTGTCGTCTGCCCTGAATAATGGGACATTAATGGGTGTGGGTGTGAGAGAGAGGAAGCGTGAGAACTTCTCCCTTTCTTTCTTTCTTTCTTTTTTAAAATGATATTTATTGAAGTTTCAAAAAAGGTTACAAAAATAGGAAAAAGAAAGGAAAAAAAAGAAAAAATACAAAATACAGAAAAGTAAAAGCACTTAAAAACAAATCAATCTTTCCATGTCTTGTCTTTCATTTACTTGTTTCCCTGACCTCCTCACACCTCCCTTTTTTGTATTCCAGTTCAGTTAGCTCATTCAGCAAATCCTTTCCCTCTTTGTTTTTATCCTAATCTTTTAACTTAATATATTGTAACTTTAGATTCTCACCTGTTAACAATCCATTTTTACATACTCCTTTGAATATTGCTGCTAAAACCACGTAACTTCATTCTGACATCATTCTAACATTCATTAATTTTACAGTATTTCTGTAAATAGTCTTTAAATTTCTTCCAATCTTCTTCCACCAACTCTTCTCCCTGGTCTCGGATTCTGCCAGTCATTTCCACCAGTTCCATATAGTCCATCACCTTCATCTGCCATTCTTCCAGGGTGGGTAGATCTTGTGTCTTCCAATACTTTGCAATAAGTATTCTTGCTGCTGTTGTAGCATACATAAAGAAAGTTCTATCCTTCTTTGGCACCAATTGGCCAACCATGCCCAGGAGAAAGGCCTCTGGTTTCTTCAGGAAGGTATATTTAAATACCTTTTTCATTTCATTATAGATCATCTCCCAGAAAGCCTTAATCCTTGGGCACGTCCACCAAAGGTGAAAGAATGTGCCTTCAGTTTCTTTACATTTCCAACATTTATTATCAGGCAAATGACAGATTTTTGCAAGTTTGACTGGTGTCATGTACCACCTGTACAGTGGTGCCCCGCAAGACGAATGCCTCGCAAGACGGAAAAACCGCTAGACGAAAGGGTTTTCCGTTTTGAAGTTGCTTCGCAGGACGAATCCCCTATGGGCTTGCTTCGCAAGACGAAAATACCTTGCGAGTCTTGAGATTTTTTTCGCTTTCCCCCTTTATCTAATCTGCTAAGCCTTTAAT